AATTTTGTTTATTATTTTTTCTGGTGGATGCATTCAATCACTCTCTGTGGTGTGGTTCAGTTGTTTAGGAAGTCTGCGTCACCTTCCCCCTAATACACGCCCCACATCGAGGATGACGATCACGCCCAGGATAAAGGAAAATATTATGTGTTTATCTAAGTTTCGAGGTGGATACATTCAAACTATTTCTTATCTTGTAGTTCGGTGGACTAACCATGGGAAGCTCGTTCGGTCTTCCTCTCCTTACAACAGGACAATGATAGTTGACGATCACGCCCTCAAAGCAGTGTTTTTATAATATATAAAGAAAAATAAATTTTAGGGAGGTAATAGTCGGATCCTAGGCCTGCCCCGAAAGGCTATAACTACACCTGAGAAGACTATATTATAAAGAATAAATAGATTGCATATTTTTTGCGGACTGGACCAACCATCCTAACTAACTATTGGGTTATTAAAATAATAACTGTGTGTTTGTTGAACCACAAATATACTTAGTAGAGGCCCTATCGTTTCAATAATAAATCCGAAATTTTTTGCATAACTGAGTATATTCAATAGTAGCTTGGAAAGGTCAACCTATCAACACAAAACAATCTAGTGTGAAGAGTGGAAAATCGATAAAATATAATCTAAATTAGCACTAGCTCCACTATTATTATGCGGTTATATATATCAATATCTAGTTTTGGGCTATGTATAAATTTAATATAGAGCATATTATTAATGACAATATGTTTGTTTTCAAGAAGGCGGTTTTACCTGATAACAAAAAGCGTTCGATCAACATGCATCACGATTTTTGGGACTGGATTTCAATGTATTTGGCACTTCAGCTATTTACAAATTTAAAATAAGCGTATATACTGGGCCGTGATTATTCGAGGGGCAGGTTTGTTTTCAAAAATACTTGTAAAATATGTATGTGCGCTTTTTTAATGCAACCACGTTCTATCAACTGCTTTTTTCACCCGAATTCGGAACAGAACTTTGTACTGAACCCTTTTATTATAAATTACGGCTTATTTTTATTAGTTCAGTATATACTGTAATAATCCGACACGAAGTAGTATGCAATAATTAAACACGAGTCAACTAATATTTTTTATTTGGCGTCTTAACGTAGCACGATAATTTCTACAGTAAAAACCACAATTATTGGACACGGCAAATCTATTAACTTACTGAAAGGTGTACGGGTAATAATTTTACACGCTACGTATATATTTAAGCCCGATTTACAAATTTAGAATAAGTGCTATGCACTTCCTTATTTTTTTACCGATTTATTTTGATCCATGCTAGAAAAAATAAGTACGTATTATGTCATATCATATGATTTAACGGTCCCGCGGGTCCGCTTTTATTTTGGCACTCTTTTTTTCTCACAGGCTCAAAAAAAGAAATCTAATCATCCATCTTTTTTTTCGAATTGTTCGATCAGACAAAATTTTCTTTTTTTCGAATGAAATGAGAAAAAAGGGGTCGAAGCTAAAATAGCGATAAAAATTTGACCGGCTTTAATAATCAATGGCCTGCATTAAATTTTATGCGGTGTCACTCTTCTGCAGAATCATTTCTCACGGTGCGATTTTTTATTAAGTTAATAAGTAGCGCTAATATAAAGAGTGTCTAGACCCTTTTTCTTAGTTTATATGATCCCGCGATAAGAAAGGGACTTAAAAAGGCTATAAGGGCAATGTGTATAACGTTTTTAATCAGTAGTTTTACCAAAATTCATATGTCATGGGGATTTGGAATCTCCGCATCTCCGAGATCGTCAGATCTAAATCTACCTTAAGTGATTGTCGATTATAAGGGGGGGTTAATTTCACTAGAAAAAATAGCAAAATAGATTCAGCATTTGGAGCTTATGAGCAAGTAGACTTGCTTTACATAGTTGGATCTAGATTGCGTTACTCTACCGCAATTACTAATTGTATAACTTTTTTTTTCTGGCAGGTTCGAGTTTTTTTCGCAAGCTCAAAAAACGATATATAGTAAACCAATATATTTTGAAATCTGTTAACTAACTATATCTGGCTTCGAGCAAGTATTGCGAGAAGGCGGGATCTAGCAAATGGACAGTATAAAATAAGCGATTTTTTTGTTTCTTGTTGGGTGGGTTATATTTTTTTACTTGTATATTTTTTTACCTGACTATAATTATTTTTTAAAGTAATGTATATTTCATCTAACAGAGAATGTGAAACTGAATTTCTACTTATTATATATTTTTTATTTAGGGATGAAAAAATGAGCAGTAATAAAAAAGCCACCACCAAGACCCCCAGGACCAATAATAGCGCCACCCCCAGGACCAATGATAATAATGCCTTCAAGACCAATAACAATAGCACCACCTCCAAGAACAAGAAAAATAAACCCCCCAGGACTAATAATAGTAACACCTCCAAGACCAATGATGATAATGCCTCCAAGACCAATAATAATAATAATACCTCCAAGGCCAATAATAATAATACTCGAGAGAACCTCTATACTTGTAAGTGAAGTTTACATTGCGTAACTATTTTACAAAAATAATTTCCTCAAAATATAACCACCTGGGACTTGGTTTCTTTTTCTATTCAAATTAGACGATAAACTAATTTCGCACTTCTATGGATATAGAGATAAGGATGACCATTCTCTTGATAGTTATATGTGGTATTCAACTAGTGATGATGATTGTGACGATAATTATTACATTTCTTAATGTATAATTGGAAAAAATTATTATTTTTTTTTTATTTGAATATTAGCGTTCTGGCAAAAAAAGAAGAGGGGTCTCATGCCCGCACCATTTTTTATTTTTATGTGATTGTATAAATAAGTATTGATTATTATTTATACTGTTATTTCAATTCTACACATAATTTTTATTGCCTTTTGAGACGCGCCTTTGGTGTTAAAATTAATAATTTCATTTGTCGAACTCTGACCTACTACATAATGAGGTTTCTTTTTCGTTTATCTAAGCCTGCAAAGCGATTAATAGGTTCTTTTGATCGAAGTGAAAAGGGCAGTTAAGAAAATAATGATTATCTTTACTCAAACAGCTCCAATTACCCCACATACCTAAATGTGTATGTACATCTTTGCATATTGGACATTTAGCATCCAAATCGGTATATTTAAACAAATCACGATACCATGTAATTGAATTAGAGTATGTCAAATAAGGGAAGTGTTTATGTACTGTTTCAATAATTATACCTTTTTTTTCTGGAAATTTAGAAATCTTGATAATACTATCCTGTAAAGAATCAATGTATTGCCAAGGATCTTTTTCAGTTTTTTTCTTATATCTTTTATATAACTTGAAACGAAGCTTATCAGATATAATAGTTGGCAAATCAGTTAATTTAGCCTCCCACTCTAAATATTCGGGAGTTAATGTTTTATAGGACATGGTCTGAATATTAAAACTTTTGGATGCTGGACAAACAAACTCCTTAATTTTTTGTATCCTTTTAGGGATAACGATTTCTGGTTTTTCGTCATACCATACTTCAAGAAGGAAAATTCCATTATCTTGACATATGCATCGTTTTTGCCGGTCACGATTAACAATATCTTCGAGTTTTTTAACATCTTTATACCAGCTAGTGTTATGAAACCGATGCTGAGCACCTTGCACCTCCAATGCGATTCGATATTTTTGAAAGAAGGCATCAAGCTCTAATCTATTCAAGAAAGGAGGGTGATACTCGATCATAGGTTCCTCATTAAGAATCTCCTTAGCTATCTGGATGCATCTAGTCTGAAATTTGCGATTTTTCTTAGATTCTGATTCTTTTTCAAGCTCATTGAAATACCGCTCTAATTTCTCAATTCTACTCCTGAGCTCAGCAGTCTCAGCTTCATACTTGGCTCTCTCTTCCGCAACCTGTTTTAAAAACTCAGATGACAGTTCGACTAAAATTTTATACAAAATGTGAATTATTCAATGTTGTGTAGTAAATGTAGAGACTCGCTTTATTAATACATGTACTATTGTCTGCGGACTAATATCTGCGTGAAAAATTTCACGCTCTATCACTTTACCAAAAAAATTCTCGAACATATACGAGTTATACCAATACAATAAAATAAATTCACGAAATACACATGCAAAAGTAAACGCGATTATATATGCAAATCGGCCCCCGGGGCCAGTTTTATTGTTTTATTGATGCAGAAACATGTAAGTATTTTACAGAATAATAATATAAAACGCATTAACTAGCTTATTTTAGACTGGATTGACCAATAATCTCGAAAATTTTTTTTGCCCGTCCCATAAAAAATAAATATCTGAAATGTTTGGCTAAGGATTAATTCGATTATTAGATTAATGAATTATAATACAGTAATAAGGTTTAACCCACGACTTAGACGTTAATATAATTATATTATCTACTTCTTGTTTCGTTTTTTCACGTCTTTCTTATTCTTTCTTTTCTTTGACGCCTCACCACTTTCATCCTCTACAATCGCATCAGTCTTTCTCGTTTTCCGTTTTTTCACGACTTCACTCTTTGACTCATCCTCATTTTCATTGTCTATCAATTACTTGATCGCTTCAAATTACGCTGTCCTGAAATCACCTTGCTCCCTGACGTTTCATCAGTTTCGTCGTATCCCTCACTCTTTTCTGTTTTTCGTTTTTTTACATCTTTATTCGTTCCCTTCTCTGTCGTTTCCTCATCTCCCGATATCGCATCACTAGATCGTTTTTTTGCGCTTTTATTACTAATATCCAAGTTGATCTCTAGTGCATATTGGGTTATTTT